ATAGCCGAACACACACCTGTAGTCCCAGCTACTTGGGAGGCTGAGGCAAGAGAATCGCCTAAGCCCAGGAGTTGGAGGTTGCTGTGAGCAGTGTGATGCCACAGCACTCTACCAAGGGCAATAAAGTAAAACTGTGTCTCTACAAAAACAAAACAAAACAACCAACTACTTAGAACATTACCCTATTTCCAATTACTAATTTTTTATGATTAGGCTTTACACTGACTTAAGTGGCTACATTTATGGAGGTTTATCCGAAAACTGGTTCAGGCAGTGACAGCCAAGCCCTAGGCCTCACCCTGCTCCGTGGTCAGGTCATGGGGAGGCAGCAGCTGGGGCTGAGGTGGGCAGTGCTCTACAGGGGCAGGTGAGAGGAGCAGACTGGAGCTGCTCTTACCTTCAGCAGCTTCATCAGCCCTTCCAGCTGCACCATCAGCTCCCGCCGGCTCTCCTGCAGTGCCGACATCCGCTGTTCCAGTTCATCCTTCCTTTGCCTGCCCCAGAGGAAAAGTCCATCAGAAATGAAACTGTGAAGATAAAGCAGAACTCAAAGAAAGGTCTAAGGCCAGGTGAGATGGGTTTTGGACCTGATTCCGCAACTTGGCAGTTATGAGATGCTGAGCAAGTCCATTTAACCTCCGACACCTCTTGTATAAAATAGTGAGGACACCTGTTTGGCCTGCTTTCTTGTATTGCTGTGAGAATAACAGGTAAAATGGTCTTGGAAAGTATCCGTGCCGTTATTCATATTATTATTAAAGAGAATGACTTTTAATAGGAAGTCAAATACCTCACACATGTAACAGTCTCCCAGCGTGATTAGTCCTGAATTCACCTTTTATGGTGAGGAAGGGCAGTGGAATAAAAATCAAGAGGTTTGAGGTCTGGCGCTGGCCCTGGCACTTACTAAACATGCAGCTGTGGACAAGTCACCTAACCTCAAGTTTCTCTCTTCTAACGGCTCACGGAAGATAGTATTAATAGATATGAGTATTCTATGAACTTTAAAATGCTGCTCAAAGCAAAGTGGTGTTCCTTTCATCATCCTATATAATGATCTCAACAGAACCTCTAGCACTACTGACCCTTGTCCTGCACAATCTAGACCTGTGCCATCCCACACGTAGCCACTAGCCACACATGATGATGGGACCCCTGAACCATGGCTGGTCCGAACCATGATGAGCTGTGAGTATAACACAGACACTGAAATCCAAAGACTTAGCGTGCAAAAAAGAAGGCAAAATACCATAAGCATTTTGTAACACTGATTACCTGTTGAAATAATAATATTTTGGAAATATCAGGTGAAGTAAAATATAGTATTAAATTAATAACAGTGTGGCTGTTAGGAAATCTTTGGTTACCCATGTGGCTCCCATTGTATTTCTCCCCTGCCCTGGAACCCATCTGCATTCCTATAGTTAGCGCCTCACCTCTTTTTCCCTTCCATGCCAGGATCACCAGCTGATGGCTCACTTTTCCCTAAACAGGCCCCAATGTTTTTGACTCACAGGTATTCCCATCTCTCTTCCAAATCCTATTCATTCCTTGATGTCTGACTCTTTCCAGGAAGCTTCTCCTGACTCCTTTGCAGGGCTGACTTAACCACTGTAGCAATGTAGTGCTTCCCTACGATGCTAAATTTACTTTACCTTGCATTGATGCCATTCCTACCATGATGCAAAACAAAATCCTTGAGGTAAAGAAATGAGCTTTACTCACCTTTGTGTGTACTGAAAAACTAAGAAAATATCCAGTATGTGCTCAATTATGATGATATTTGCTGAACTGAACAAAATCTGAAACCCTCCAAAGATTTCCAATGACCTAACAATCAAGGCTCTCCAGAATCTGGTCTTAACTGCCTAGCTAATGTTACCTCCTATTATTGGTACTCTTAAAGATTAATTTAATGAATGACTGAAAACAACTTCTTAGTTCTGAGACACTTTCCCTTTGCTGAAATGGGCCATACTTACTTGAGGGATTATGCTGAACCACAACCTCATTTCCAATATGAAATATTTTGTCCTATACTCCATCCAAATTATACCCACCTTTATAAGGGGTGCAGAACCTGTGGCCACAAGGCCACATATGGCCCTCCAGCTCCCCGAGTGTGGCCCCTTGACCAAATCCAAACCTTACAGAACAAATCTCCTTATTAAAAAGGACTTGCTCTGTTTGGATTCAGTCAAAAGGCCACACTCAAAGATCTAGAAGGCCACATGTGGCCCCAAGACCGCAGGTTCTCCACCTCATAATGTATCATTGTCTTACAGACACTGTATATTATTTAACTGACTACCAAATTATTTTGTTTCCAATATCGGATTATAAATTTTGAGGATAGATTCACTGCTCACTGCCATCTAGTCTTTTTTTTTTGAGACAGAGTTTCACTTTGTCACCCTCGGTAGAGTGCCATGGTGTCACAGCGCACAGCAACCTCAAACTTTTGGTCTCAAGCAATCCTCTTGCCTAAATCTCCTGAGTAGCCAGGACTACAGGCATCTGCACAATGCCTGGCTAATTTTTTTCTATTTTTAGTAGAGATGAGGTCTTGCTCTTATTCAGGCTGGTTCTGAACTCATAGGTCAAGCAATGCACTTGCCTCAGCCTCCCAAAGTTCTAGGATTATAGGTGTGACCCACTGTGCCTGGCCTTAAAAGTTTTGTACACTACATACATGTTTAATCTATCTGGTGGTGTGAGGTAGAAAGCCAACATGTTTTGTCCTTATGCATAAACAATTGTTCCAGCACACTTGGTAAATAGTCCTTCCTTTCTTCAATGATATAGAAACTGCTTTTGAGATTAAATATTTTGATTTCTCAAACTTTAGATCCTCCTTGGGCTTAAATTCTAGCTTTTTGCTGCCTTATGTGATATCCCTGAACTCTGCTCTGTGCCTACTAAATCCATGTTTTTCAGTTCCTTCCAGCTAACTGAGGGCTTTTATTAATGTCAGTTCCAGCAACAGTTAGACTCAGGGATGACAGGGATATAAGTTTAAAAAAAAAAAAAAAAAAAAAAAAAAATATATATATATATATATATATAGAGAGAGAGAGAGAGAGAGAGAAAGAGAGACTGGAAATCCCTATACCACAATGATTTTCTTTTTGAGACAGAGCCTCAAGCTGTCACCCTGGGTAGAGTGCCGTGGCATCACAGCTCACAGCAACCTCCAACTCCTGGGCTTAAGCAATTCTCTTGCCTCAGCCTCCCAAGTAGCTGGGACTATAGGAGCACAATGCCCGGCTATTTTTGGTTGTAGTTGTCATTGTTGTTTGGCAGGCCCGGGGTGGATTCAAAGCTGCCAGCTCTGGTGTATGTGGCTGGCACCTTAGCTGCTTGAGCTTCAGGCGCCGAGCCACCACAATGATTTTCACCTGCACAGTTTAAATTACTTACTTCTTGATGACATAAATTAAAACAGGAAGATACCTATGTAAAACTATAATCTCCATTCTCTAGGTAAAGAAATCATGCTTGAGAGACTAAATTACCTAAGGTAAAGGAAGAACTGAAAAAAAAAAATGGCATTGAGCTATGTAAAATGCCAGATGATAGCACCTTAAAAATCAACCTAAACAGGAAGAACCCCCCTCCTTGGAAATCTAGCAATCTGGTGAGAATCAAGTCACTGAACTTTAGTTACAGAAGCGGACACACACGTCTAAGACCGGCAGGAAGTAAGACCCTAAGAACAGGTCAGACCACATTCATGTTGGGTTCTCCTGGGAAGATTTCCCTATTCCCTCCAAAACAGTATCAGACCGGGAGCTGAAGCTGCTCTCTACTCCTATCTTGATTCTATACCTTTAGTTTCTTGCTCCTTGAGACAGTTTATATTTATATGTAAGTGGGAAGCTACCACAGCCACAGCGCAAGGGAATCCGACTTGGTTTCGCGTCTCAGAGGCTGTGCAAAGGAAGCATCTTTCTTCAGCCTGTTCTGACGATGACGTGCCAGGAGAATATACTCACAGGAAAGGGAAAGCATTATTCATGCTAAGAGTCTCTAAAGTCAGATTAATGAGCAAGAAAAGAAAAGGGACTACAGTACAATGGTTCTTTTTTTTTCCCCCAGTCAGTCTCATTCTGTCTCCCTGGGTAGAGTGCTGTGGCATTAGCCCACAGCAACCTCAGACTCTTGGGCTTGAGCAATCCCCTTGCCTCAGCGTCCTGAGTAGTTGGGACTATAGGTGCCGGCCACAAGGCCTGGCTAGTTTTTCTATTTTTAGTAGTGCCGGCCACAAGGCCTGGCTAGTTTTTCTATTTTTAGTTGTGCTGGCCACAAGGCCTGGCTAGTTTTTCTATTTTCAGTAGAAACGGAGTCTTGCTCTTGCTTGGGATGGTCTGGAACTACTGAGCTGAAGCAATCCACCCACCCTGGCCTCCCAAAGTGCCTGGCTTGCAATGGTCTTCTTCAAGCAATCACAGTTCTGCTTGTCCTGGAGCTGACGCTGGTATTTACCTAGTTCTGTGAGGATGACTGACCGTCTCAGAGTGATCAGTTATGGAACCTAGACATCTGAGGCAAAACCAAAACACATATAACTCCTTGTCTGGTCTCCTGAGGTGAAAGTCCCTGCTGTAGTAGATGACAGTTTCAGGACAGTGGTGCATTATCCCCGCCTACCTCAGTAGCCGCAGCTCTGCCAGCAGCGTGGGGTTCTGCTGGGCCTTCTCAGGCGTGGGCTGTGAGGCCTGCTCGTGTTCCAGGCGGAGACGCTGAATCTCCTGCAGGATCTCTCTGGAAGGGGCATGAATGGAAAGATGGCTGCTTAATGCTCACAGCTTTTCTCCTTTTCCCTGGCAAAAGTAGCTAGCACTCCACTAGCAGTGCCTCCTCTCCCAGTCTTGCTCTGATTGCCTCTAAATGACCAAGACGTGACATGGACACCTTCTCAAAACTGCTTCACCTGACATTTCCTGAATGAAACAAGGCTTTGTGGTAGAAAAGGTCGCGAATGTGCTCTTCTCAAGAACTTGAAACATCTCCACAAAAGGAAAAATGACAACCAGAACACCTTACTGTTTCTCTCTGTGGGAGGCAAAAAAGAACTTGCGACCTTCTAACACAGGCCCTGAGCTGAATCCCCCCAAGATGTGCCCCATCTCCTCGCCTTCCACTGCCCCAGCCCCTGACAGACAGCTGCTGTTCCCTCTGCCTATGCAGCACCTCTGGGTACTGTCTGGTCTCTATGCTTCTAAATGGCTTTGTTTTGAGAGACCAGGCAGACACATGTGGCAGACATGTCAGGACAGGATGGCTAGATAGAGCCAATGCTGTTGGGAAAGAGTGGGGAAAGCAATCCCAAGTGGGTGGGCAGGAGGCCACCTGGGCCACAGGAGCAGGGGTGTGGGCAATGACATGCAGATATATGCAAATTAGCATCTGGGGCATTCACCGGATTGGGCCAGCCAACATTCACTGAGGCTGGGTTCTCCTTTGCGGTCAAAAGCCATCTAGTCAGCAAAGAAAAAGACAATCAGATACTCACAGGATAATCCCGGACACTATTAATGGCCTTGCTTCTTACCTGTTTTTGTTTTCCAGTTCTGCAATAAGCTGTCTTTGTTGTTTGTTGGCATCAAAGTTAAAGCCCAAGTCAGTAGGAGGACGAGTCTAAAGCACGAAGAAAGTGTTTTTGTTTTTTTCTAACTCAATTATGTCCAGCGTCCTAGACTGATTTTTTTGCTGGTTGGTTTTTAATTGAAATGCACTTTGTCACCCTCCTTGGTAGAGTGCTATAGCGTCATAGCTCACAGCAACCTCCAATTCTTGGGCTCAAGCAATTCTCCTGCCTCAGCCTCCCCAGTAGCTGGGACTATAGATGCTAGCCATAAAGCCTGGCTATTTTTTTGTTTGTTCGTTTATTTAACAGGCCTGGGACGGGTTCGAACCCACCAGCTCTGGAGTATGTGGCCAGTGTCCTAACCACTGAGCTATGGGTGCTCAGCTGACTGACTTTTTTTAAAAAACAGATTTTGAGGTATAATTTACTCACCATAAATCCATCCATTTTAAGTGTACGATTCAACAAGTCTTAGTACATTCAAACAGTTGTGAAACCAATCACCACAGTCTAGTTGTAGAATGTTTTTCCATCACCACAAAAAATTCCCTCATGCTGGTTTGTTGTCAACTGCCACTCCCACCCCAACCTTAAGCAGCCACTGATTTGCCGTTTACAGGCTTTGCTTTTTCTAGAAACTTCATACAAATAGAACCATACAATATGTAGTCTTTGGTTTCTGGCTTCCACTTAGGAAGATTGATTGAGGCCAGGAGTTTGAGGCCAGCATGCCTCAAAGTTTGCGAGGTTAAGTTACGTTGCCCCATGAACCGTCTTCCTTTTTATTGCTGAGTAGTATTTCATTGCTTCCAGCTTCTGGTTATCAGAAATGAAGTGCTCTGGACTTTCATTTACAAACAACTATTTGCGTCCACACCTGTTTTCCTTTCTCTTGGGTAAACACCTAGGAGTGGAACTGCTGAGTTTAATGGTAAGTCCATATTTAACATGTGAGGAGCTGTCAAATAGTTTTTCAAAGTGCTAATAAGGAATGAGGGTAACGATTTATCTGCATCTTCACCAATACCTGTTTATTATCTTTTTGGTATAGTGGGTATGCAGTTTCTAACAATGAATTTTTAAAAACTGAGGTGTAATTTACATACTGTAAAATCCACTTTTAAAGTGTTACCATTCAGCATCTTTGTGTGTATTTGTGAGGTTGTGAGATAATCACAACTATCTAACTGCAAAATATATTCATCATCACAGAAAGAAACCCTATGCCCGCGAGTCGTCACTCTCCTACCCTGACATACACTTTATGGATTTGCCTGTTCTGGATTTCCTATAAAAGGAATCACACAATACTTGATTTTTTTTTTTGTTTGTTTGGGCTTCCTACACCTAGCAAAGTGTTTGCCAGGTTCACCCATGTGGCACGTAACATTCTTTGTCATGGCTAAATAATATTTCATTATACAGATATTCCACATTTATCCATTCAACAGTTGGCAAATATTTGGGTTGGGGTTGTTTCTACTTTTTGGCTATTTTAAATAATGCTGCTTTGAACATTTATGTTGAGATGTTTTCATTTCTCTTGGGCATATACCTAGTAGTAAAGTGATGGGTTATATGGTAAATGCCTTTTATGAAACCGCCAAACTGTTTTCCAGTGTGGCTGGACCCTTTTACACCCTCACTGTCAATTTATGAAGGTTTCACTTTTTCCACGTCCTTGCCAACACCTGTACTGTTGTTTTGATCACAGTCATCTTAGTGCGTGTGAAGTGGTATTCTCACTGTGGATTCATTTGTATTTCTCTGATGACTAATATGTTGAGCATACTTTCATGTGATTATTAGCCATTTCTTTTTTGGAGAAATTACGTGGTTGTGATTCATAGATCTGCTGATTGTCCTAACCCTTGCTAATGTCTTTAAGGATATGGTAGCCAATTAATACAAGAAAAGGGAAGACCAGGCAACTTTTATTGACCAACCAGGAGTGCAGATCTGCCTGAAGGCTCTGACACAGCTGTGCTTCACTCTGAATGGTCTTGCTTCTGCCAGAAATATGCCCTGTCATGGAGCAGACACCTTCCTCCCCCCATCTAGAGCTTGAAGATTATCTAGATTCTTTTCATGTGGCATTTTCTAAGTAAACAGGGGCAAAAATAGCATAAAAAATCCAGGTATGAGGCTTTTTACCAGATTGCTAAATAGTTTTCTTTTTTAAAAGGAAAAACAAGATGGTTCCTTTTCCTCCAGAGAAGCATGGACTAGCAGCCTACTGGGTAAAGTTTCTATATTGTATTCAGGGTCTGAGAACCTGTGCTGAGCCACAGGAAAATGGCTTGCTCAAGACCAAATGTGGCTCTGAATAAGGCTTGCAATTCCTGAAAACTGGAGCTGGGCCAGGGAAATTTATGGATGAAAACATGAGCTCGTAAAGGAATTTGCTTCTTATTGATGGCTAACAAACAGAAACACTGTGGTATTTCATTGGAAATGTCTAAAGAATCTTTCCAGTTTTGAGTGTCTAACTGCAAATCTGAGGCATCCTCCATAGAGGAGGTTAATACAGAAATCAAAAGTCTGTACCATCAATAGAAAGTCCTTACCAAGTTAAGAGTCTCTGGCTCCAAGAAATACTGCAGCTGAGATATAAAGATGTGGGGGTGCATGGTGATTCCCTCCCAAGGCTGCAGGCCCAAATGCCACCAATGCCCAAGCAGAGCTGAGCTCCCTCCACCTGGGTATGATAATGAAGAACTCCCCAGAAGAGAACTAACACTGACTTATTTCACTCAAATTTTAAATATTATCAAGTATACATTAAATAACAGAGAAACTTAGGATTTTAGTTATTTATTGTCTTAAATACTACAGTGCTCCTTTAAGGGGGGAAAAAAACCAAGTTTCCCTTCCTAAAACACATCCAGGACACTGAAAAAGAGATAGAAAGGGAATTATTACTTCATAAATACACAAGATGACTTGGGCAGAAAAGACCTGAAGATGATTTCTTACAAAAAGAGTTGGTGCATGGTCCGGAGCAGTGGCTCAAGCCGGTAACCCCAGCACTCTGGCAGGCTAAGGCGGGTGGATTGATTGAGCTCATGGGTTCAAGACAAGCCTGAGCAAAAAGTGAGACCCGTTCTCTAAAAATAGAAAAACTGAGGCAAGAGGATTACTTAAGCCCAAGAGTTGGAGGTTGCTGTGAGCTATGAGGCCACAGTACTCTACCCAGGGTGACAGCTTGAGATTCTGCCTCAAAAAAACAGACAAAAAAAAAAAATAGTTGGTGCATTCATTTATAAAAATAAATATTTCCTGAACTTCTGTTGTGCCAGGCAGTGTTCTAGCAGTCACAGATGAATAAGATACAGTCCCCACCCTCACACAGCTTCCATTACATTGGAAAAAAGATTTAACCCTCTCCCCAAAAAACCCAAAATAAATATAGACATCAGTAGGGACAAATGTAATAAATACAGAGTAATGAAATAGAATGAATAAGATTTTTTTTTTGAGACAGAGCCTCAAGCTGTCCCCCTGGGTAGAGTGCTGTGGCATTACCGCTCACAGCAATCTCCAATTCCTAGGCTCCAGCGAGTCTCCTGCCTCAGCCTCCCAAGTAGCTGGGACCACAGGTGCCCGCCACAACACCCGGCTATTTTTTGGTTGCAGCCATCATTGTTGTTTGGTGGGTCTGGGCTGGATTCGAATCCGCCACCTTAGGTGTATGTGTCTGGCGCCTTAGCCATTTGAGCCACAGGCGCTGAGCCATGAATAAGATTTTTTAAATGAGGAAGTTACAAAAGAACTCTCAGGGATGCAATGAAGTAAGGAGGCAAAGCAGGAGAAAGGCTGATGGTGAAGCCTGCAGGGCAGGATGAAGGGCAAGTGCAAAGGCCCTGCAGCTGCTCCAAGTGGGGATGTTCAGGTGAGAGTGAAGGTGATGCACTGGGAGATAAAGCTGGGCCTAGATCTCATGGGTCCCTGGGCCACGGAGAGGAGCCTGCATTTCATTCTGAATATGGGATGAGCCACTGCAGGATTTTTAGCAGGGGGATATGAAATCTGCTTATATATTTTGAAAACATTGTTCTACATTTATAAAAGACTGAATAATAAATGGGGAAGAACAAATTTCCCATTTGAAGAATTCTAAATAACATATGTATACTACTTGACTCCACTTTGAAGGAGGTATAGGGCCTAACTCCCTAACTCCCCAATCCTCACGTGTGGCTGGTGCACAGTGACTTCCTTCCAAAGAATAAATACAGTGTGGGAAGGGGGAAAAGGGTAACTATGTTGGAGAAATGAGAAAAACACTACCTCGGGCAAGGGGTCAAAGTCAGCAACAAAAACAGTGAGAACACATGTTGCTAATATGTCCCCAGATATGGCATAATGAAAAGGACACTTTGGCATGGCGCCCCGTGCTCAATGGTTAGGGCGCTGGCCACATACACCGGGTCTGGCGGGTTCAAACCCAGCCCAGTTCTGCTAAACAATGACAACTACAACAACAAAAAAATTAGCTGGGCATTGTAGTCCCAGCTACTTGGGAGGCTGAGGCAAGAGAATTGCTTAAGCCCAAGAATTTGAGGTTGCTGTGAGCTGTGACACTATGGCACTCTACCCAGGGCAACAGCTTGAGACTCTTGTCTCAGAAAAAAAAAAAAAGACAAAAACACCAGACAAATCCTAATTAAAGGTTGGGTGTAGTGGCTTACACCTGTAATCCTAGTACTCTGAGAGGTGAAGGCAGGTGGATTGCTTAAGCTCACTAGTTTGAGACCAGCCTGAGCAAAAGTGAGACCCAGTCTCTACTAAAAGTAGAAAAACTGAGGCAAGAAGATTGCTTGAGCCTGAGTTGGAGGTTGCTGTGAGCTATGACTCCACAGCACTCTACCCAAGGCAACAGCTTGAGACTCTGTCTCAAAAACAAACAAACCAAAACCCCCCAAACAAATCCTAATTAAAGAACAGTCTAGACTATGTCTGGTGGTACTCCTCAAAACCGTCAAGGTTGGCAGAAATAAGCCAGGTCAGAGAAACTGCCACAGCCAAGAGAAGCCTAAGAAGGAAAACA